CAACCGGGGCGCGTTGATACTGCCAGAAGATAAGCCGAATTTCAGGTTTCACACTCAATCTCATCGTTTAGTTGGCCCTGGTTCACTGGGAGATCGCCATCCGCTCGGCATGGTTCTCCCTCAGAGTCTGTTTTGTTCCTGTTGTTGTTGTTGTACCCCCTTTCCTGACACCCTCCCTGTTCGGCATTTGCTGTGCATGCGCAACCCGAATAACGCCTGTTTTAACCTGATCTGGCCCCCGTGGTTGGACCAGCACGTCTATCACACGGCCAGTTTAGTGGGCAGACACACACGAAACACGGACTCGAACAGCGGGGCTTTTCAGAAGGTACTGCCATCGCTAGAACAATGCCATTCGTCTGGCGTTTCGTATTCACTCCCTAATCCATCATCAGACAGATGCAGACAGATACTTCAACATACGCTTACTGAAATCAATAACTGCTGTATCCAAAAGACATCAACATTTGGTGCGATAATTGTCTAGCAGCCGGGACTCGTGTTTCATTGGTGACGATTGCGCCGTCGGTTTTAGTAGAATTCGCTAGAAAAAGTCTTCATCAGTACTGTCACTGGGAGTATAATCCGTCTGTCAGCTCTGAATAAAATGAAGGTATCAGAGCGTAATCGGAGAACCCTGGATTCCAGCCAACGTTGCCATTTCTACTCACAAGGCTTGTAAAACTCGAAAGCGCTACCGGAACCCAAGTAGAACAGATGGCGTCATTCCCTTGTGCAACTGAAAAGTGTTCAACCATTCCTGTCCAGTGTAATCTGCCAGTTTTTTCATAACTACTGCGTTTGCTAGCATGTCAGGTAAAAGAAACAATCTCAAACTATGTTCGCCGTGGCAGCTAATGTTCCGGTCTCACTACAAAACGTCTGGTGCTCTTCTCTCTAGTTTGCGCGGAATTCAGACTTCGAGTGATGCACTTTGGGGCAGGGTCGTCGTAAAGTCGTTCATCAGATACGCTAGGCGACTCCAGACACTGGCCTGCTGGTTGCTGCACGTGTTTGTCCGCAACTTAAAATAAAAGCAGCGCGAAGTATCGGCCGAGGATGGTCTTCGGAACGCTTTTCTTAACGAAAAGGCCTTGCTCGAATGGTCGAGATGCCTGCCTGATGATCTGCTCTGTTAGTAACGAGACTTTCTACGCATTTACCACATCTACTACCAGAGCCAATCGCTGGAGATCAGCATTTACCTTCTTCTGCACAGAACAGTTTTCAGATCGCTACCCACACCCCGGGGGAAGGCCACCAATCTAAGTTTACGGTAACGCGGATAATGGCATGAGCCAGTAATAATTTGGGGCGAGAAGCGCTGGAGGCCTGGGTAGCTAACTCCATCAACAGGCATAGTGATATACCTCCTATCACGCCCTTCGTTCGCGCGGCCCAGTTTCCCGACATGGACGCATGCCTTGGAGATGACGTGGGCCCAACCAACCCCTATTTATTCTTCTTTTACCCGAACTACAAAACACTCTAATTGTTTCTGCGCTCGGATGGTCTCTGAAGATGGCCTCTTTTACGAAGCCGTGAACTCAGACAAGCCGAACTGCTGTAAGCAAAGGTATTTTTGACGTGAACTATGCAAATG